AGTTTGATAATAGCATTCTCTATACTGTGTCAGAATCCAAAATTCACTAAAAGTGTTGATTCAAGGGTGAGACCTGGAATGTATGAAACTAGGGGTGGAAACTTTAGATTCATGAAACCTTGGGTGGGAACATGTCATTTACTCATTTGAAAATTTCAAAACAGTTTAACAAACTAACTTCTGAAATATTATTTTATAATCTATAAATCAAATAGAATTGAAATTTAGAAACTGTAGCCGCATCATTCCCTCTTTTTATTATTGTCTTAATTGAAAGACAATTAGATACTAATACAATAATGAAACCTTTTACAAATTAATTTTATGTTAGAAGGTTGCATAAAATAAAGAAATCAGTGAAAACGAATAAATTTAGTATGCTAGAATTGATTAATTTGCGTAAGTGATTTATACAATTAATACAAATTAAATTTAACAAATTTTAATGAAAAAATCAGAAGCAAATTGGGCTTAAATTTATAGAAGAATTATGAAAAAAAAAACAGAGATGATAATATTATACTTATAAAATCTTTTTATTACTTTTTTTTTATAAATATGATATAATAATTTATAATTAATTAATTTGTAATAAATTCTATCTATGACTAATCAATTAAAAGCTATTACATCATCGTTTATGAAAAAAATTATAAGCAGCATTTATCCGACTATCTTTTTCACGATGATTTAATTAGAAATGAGACAGTATCGGCACTGTAGTTATGTACTGAACATAAAACGGCGTCATCCAACCCAGAAAACTGGGCCCACAGGGAAGCAAGATCCACCTCATGAAAATATCAATTAACCCCAATCAACTGTTCTCCCATTTAACTTTCTCATCGTTGTTATTGTTAGGGTCAAACTTAATGTTTTCTTGTGCCTGATTGAAACCGAGACCTGAATTGGACGATCTAGTTCCTTCTTTAACTTAGATCGTCATAAATTCAAGCTCGATCTATCGTTGTTTGGATTCAGGTAACCGATTAATACAATGTTTCTTTTTGACTGGTTCTACAGCGTCTTGGCTTCGCTTGGTCTGTGGCAGAAAGAGGCTAAGATCTTGTTCTTAGGCCTAGATAATGCTGGAAAAACCACCTTGCTCCACATGTTGAAAGACGAGGTCCTTTTTGTTTTATTTCTTATCTCTTTTCTTATAATCTTCTATTTTATGCTTCTATTTCCTAAATCGATTTTGAATTATTTTTTACTTTTTTGAGAAGTGGTAGGTAAGTGAAGTAGAATTTAGAATCTTATTCTTTTATAATTTGATTTATTTGAGACGTGGACAAACATAAATCTCCTCACAGGTGAATCGTACACAATCTGATTTAACATATTGCATCATTGTTTCATTTAACTGATTGCTCTTTGTGTTGGTGCTTTGACCCCTCCCTTTTTTTTTCAATTTCGGTACTTAAACGAAATGGAATTTGAGATTTACACTCTTTTTTGTTTTTGATGGAAATATGAATATTTACGTCTTCAGCTGTGTAGTTTAGGATGGAAGAAAATTTTTAATAAGTAGATAATTTCATAAGGCTTAATTGGATTAGTAAAGTTACTCTCAGACATTTATACTGTGTGCAAAACGTAGAAGTTTTGTTTCATCCTGCAGTACTTATTCTTGGGTTGATTTCAGAGATTGGTTCAGCATCAGCCAACGCAGTATCCCACATCGGAAGAGCTTAGTATTGGGAAAATTAAGTTCAAGGCATTTGATTTGGGTGGTCATCAGATTGCTCGTAGAGTCTGGAAGGATTACTATGCCAAGGTGAGTTATACTTAAAACTCAGTTAGTTTAGTACTTAAGTAATTTATATCGCATCTGAAGAGTGGACATACCACCTATTGGATTAATTGTTGCTATGTGCAACACTTTCAGCTTAACCCGATTCATTCTTAATTCAATAATATGTAATTTATTTGCTATAAGAAACGTGTAACTGCCAGTTATAATTATTAGCAGTTGTTGACCGGATTCAATGGTTTACGGATGCACCCTTGTTTGATATTTGTTTATTTCTATGGTTCTTTTGACATGCACTCATGTTAACTGTAATCAAGTGCTGCTTGTGATGTTTTTTGGTTTGAATCTTACCTTTTACTTGTTTCTACCATTGTTGTGATGCAACCCACATTTGTCCCATATATTACTCGAAAGTAATTGACAACATCTACCTGTTCATGCTATTGTCATAAGTTCTTCTCAACATATATTTGTATAAGTTAGACAACAACATGTTAACTTTTAGTACAACAATCTATTAATGCAAGGTTAACTAGCTGCATGTATAATTTTTTTTTTTTTTTTTGTCTTTTGCCTTGTGACATATAAGATACAGAAGAAAAATCTATTTGCATTTATGTGTTAACTTTTGTATCACTTTGGCAGTAAGACTCTTAATTAGATTTTCATTTTGAAGGTTATCGCCCTCTGTTTTAGTTTATATATATACTCATAAGAAAGGCTTCTTGCAGTGAATCATTGTTTATTTCCAAAAGTGTAACTTATGCTGTTTTAGGGCTTGAAGTTGTAATAGTGCATCCCTTGGTTTGCAAGAGTGCAGGTTGTGGTAACAGTTTGCCGGCTCTATGTCAAGCTTGTATTGAAGTTGCTACTAACGTGGTCCATGTTTAACTTAGGCATTAAATTATATTGAGGTGTTCTAGAACTGAATGCAATGAGGTTTTTATGGCTTTCTCCAACACCTATTATAGACGTCCTGATGATGCCTCTTCTGAAATTTTATTTAATTGCCTTTGGATTGACCTATACCATGTATCATTAATTTTTTTACCAACCAAGTTATTTTATGAGCTTGATTTGCTTTAACTCGTTATACTTTGCTTGCTTGGTGTTTTCTGTTATCTTCTATGTTGACATTCTTTACTTTGTCCTTCACTTTCCTTCTGTGATAAGCTTGATTGTTGCACCATTTTGCTGTAAGCCTTTTTGTTAATTTATTCAACTTCTTGTTAATTTACTGTGTAATTTAATTTCCCTATATTTGTTATGAAATTATCTCTGTGCCTTATGGTGCATTAAATTATTTCAATTGGCTAAAGCCAAAGTGCATTCCATCCATATATATATCATTGCATTTCTGTGCAACTAGAGTTGCTTCGGTTGGTTAGTAGAATCCCAATAGTTATTCTTTGTGCCTTGGCTTAGACAACGTTGATATGATAAGGCTTAGGTAGATGCATCCATTACACTGTTGACTGAGTTAACACGGATGAAGAGAGAATACTACTAGTCCCTATGAAAGTTATCACTTGGACCTTGATGGCAAAATTTATTTTATGTCTATCTGTGATGCTTACATCTTTCTTATGCTTAGAAGTTCTGTGATTATATATCTTCCTAATTCAACTGGGTGTATTTTTAAATTTGAAGACTCTAATTTTGGCCTTGTTGCAAATAATATATATTCGGCTTTCTCATCTCTGCAGGTAAAATACTTCTAATGTGGTTTGCATTATGTTACAGGTGGATGCTGTAGTCTACCTAGTGGATGCCTATGACAAAGAGAGGTTTGCGGAATCAAAGAAAGAACTGGACGCACTCCTTTCTGACGAGTCATTGGCTAATGTCCCTTTTCTTGTTTTAGGGAACAAGATTGACATCCCATATGCAGCCTCAGAAGATGAGTTGCGATATCATCTTGGCCTGACAAATTTCACCACTGGCAAGGGGAAGGTTAATCTAGCAGACACAAATGTCCGCCCACTGGAAGTGTTTATGTGCAGTATTGTGCGCAAGATGGGATATGGTGATGGCTTCAAATGGCTCTCCCAATACATCAAATAGCATAATGGCCGGTAGTGTTTTAGGAAGATGTATTGCATATCCCGAAAGCCCTATCCTATCCCACTGTGTCTCATCGCACGAATTGTATTAATCTCCTTGTTTGGTCTAGCTTGTGAGTGGGATTTAAATTGGAAGTACTGTGTTTTGAATCTGCGTGGAAGGAATTGTTAATGTTACTACTCTGTAAAATTGACTTGTGGTAGCAGGTCTTATCTGATATAATAGTTTGTTAAATTATTTGCCATCTATTGTCATATGCTGCAGTACAGCAGAAATATTGCATTCCTTTCCTATCACTGTCATATTGTATAATTGGGCTTTGCAGTATGTATTATTATTTTTAAGAACAAAAGGATTTAGCACTCTCCTTTCTGTCCACCCACATAATGTTTTCGGTTGGTTTTCATCGCATAGTTTGGTAGTACAGATAATATGCTGTGTGTGCAACTAGTCGTATGGAAAAGAAATAAAACTAATGGGAGGAAAACACCATTCTTTCAATTTTTTTTTTTTTTTTTTTTTTAATGTTTGCTGCAATAAGCTGCCGAAATCCTCGATAAAATTATCTGAATCGATTTCAGAGCGAGTTTCTGTGCCAAAACCTCGATAAGATTCTGTGACTCGATTCCATGGGGTTTCTGTACAACTTGGCTTGTGATAATTGCTCTCTTCATCAATCCTTTGATGGTTTTGGGATTATGGTTTTATAAGATGGAAAATTTGTAACCATCTTCAATGAGGAGTTTGATCATCAATCAGTAAATAAAACCTGTTGTATAGGTCCACAGTTTCATGCTTCCAATAATTGACTAGCCCATCTCATAGATTCGATATTCTAATAAACAACACCGTCAGATTTCAAGTGGAGACAAATGGCCAAACAGCATTTGACAATATATTGTCGGTTGCTGTAAACGTTTTTAATATACTTTTGATCGTTCCTGGCAAAATACAAATTGCTGTGGACGTTTTACTAATTCAAAGGCCAAAACAAAACAAATAAAACTTTATTCGATAGAAAAGACCCCACACATATCGCCATTACCACACTTCACTGCCACGCCTAACGCATAAGATAAGATTAAACATCCGCGTATTGAACACTATACCCAACTTATCAGTCACGTGCACACATCTCTCACCACTTCTAGTCTTATTTTTTAACATTTGACTGTTGACTCATCCCTCTTTCCCCCGCTATATATAACTTATAAACACTCACCCATACCCCATAATAAATCTCTACTTACAACTGAAGATCCACCACCACAACTGAAACTACAAGATATGGGCAACTACACTTCCTCTTGTTTCTTTGTTCATTCAACCCTAAAAGCAAAGCTTGTCGATGCTAATGGAAACCTGAGGCAGGTCAACCTTCCCATTAAAGCTGCCGAGGTCATGCTTGAAGAACCAGGCCACGTCATTTCTCCAGTGGACGGGCTCCTGAGAACTCGCCGTATATCGGCCATGCGAGCTGACGATGAACTTTTGGCAGGAAAACTTTACATGTTTGTTCCTATTAATAGAGTCAACGGGAAAGTTACAGAGAAAGATATTTCGATAATAGAGGCTGCTTCTGGCAAAAAGAAATCGTTACGCTTACGTAGGAGGAAGAGGAGCAACGCCAAGGTGTTACCCACTGTAACTGAAGAGGTGAGGGAAGATAGAGAAGAAAGTGATCAGGTTACTGTTTTGAGAGTGAATGATACGGGGTTCGCCAGTCATCGATTTAAGAATCAAAAGCAGTGGAACCCAGTTTTGGAAGCCATTTCTGAAGTCTACTGAAGATTACAAGTTTTTCGTGGCTTTGACTCTGTGTTCGTCCATGGAATTTATAACTTAATTATCAGAATATGCAACTATGCAAGTGTACATCATGATTAATTCTTAATGAACAAGCCTACGAAGCCCAAAGCTGGCCCATTTTTTGGCCATTGGACTTGATAGAAAGCTTGAAGGTGGCCGAGGGCCTTAACCAAAACATAACTGCACGGGCTTATGGGCCTAAAAAGTGATATATCATATTGTATTTAATAAAAGTTAATCTTTCGTATTTCACCATACTTGGTGTTCTATTGCCAGTTTAAGTAAAGGTTTTGCTTGCTTGATTGCTCAATTAAGGGGCCGTTTGACAAATGACATGAAGTTTATTTATTAGAAAACTTAAACCGTGTTAATCATTTTACTCTTAATGACATTATAATACAAGTTAATCACTGCACCATCCTCTATTACAAATTTTTTTTTTTTTTTAATCGTCGCAAGTGTTTGGACCAGTTTGCATACACCTCAACTAATCTCCTATTAATGCCTTAGAATTGTTGGCCGAGTAAGAATCCCAATGATCACCTCTATTAATATTTAGGGAGACTTGAACTAGGCATGGCAACGAGGTGGGGCCAAGGACCCCACTCCCCGTCCTAAAAAACACTCCTTGCCCTCCCCCGTCCCATTACAAGGAAGTTGGGGATTCCCCCATCCTCGCCCCGCAAGGAATTTTAGAGACTCGTCCCTACCCCGTTAATTTTACAATGACATCAATTATGAGAACAAACGCATGACAAAAACTATTTGAGCATTCAAAAAACAATAGTCAATTCTCTTTCAATGTTGAGATTTGTCCACATGACAAACGCTTAAGTTAATCTTTTAAACTTAAGATAAGACATTGCACTTGTCCAAAATACAGAATATATATATATAGCGTAGAGCGGGGGAAGGGCACTCCCCACCCTATCCCTAAATACCGGGATTAAAACTCCTCCTGTCTCCGCAAAAATTGGGGAATCCCCATCCCATACGGGACGGGGCAGGATGGGGCTCTAGAATTTCAGGACTCATTATTATGCTTAACTTGAACTCAATAATTTATAAAACATTTTTTTGTTATTTTTATTATCAAATCATCGAATGATAATTCAATTACGATTACTTAAACCAATATACAATTGTTACTTAAATAAAAATATTCTTTGATTTAATTATAAGTACGAAAAAGACATGCATTTACGTATGAATTTGCATATAAAAGGTTATCTCATTCATATGATTCAATAGTATATACACCCGTGAGAATTAGAAACAAAAATATAAATCACGGAAAACTTTGTAGTTGGACCGTCCAACTTAACTCATGCTTCAGGTAACTGGCAACACATTATACAAAAAGATTAGTTAGTATAATTACAGTTGAACGGTTCTTTGACTTCCATTTAACGCTAGGCCCTAGTGAAGACAAAAGGACCCCACCTATCCAGAACATCTCTGACCATTGGATCAAGTTAATTACATACGTAAACTGTCAATATCTCATGTACAAACAGATCTGAAGGACAACAACTCCATCTTTTAAGTTATTGCCAAGTCCACCATTATATCCCTCACAAGATGGAGCGGTTTAACAAACATTTCCTACGCATTCCTACTTATACTTTCTTTAATTTCATACACATTACTTCTAAACTTCAACCAATACACACACACACACACACACGCCTTCTCCCTCTCATGGGTAACTACATCACATATCGACCCTTTGATGCCACCATCAGAAAAGTCATTCTATCAGACGGCACTGTGCATGAGTTTGACTATCCTGTCACTGTAGCAGAGCTGATGCTAGAGCACCCACAAGAAGTTGTAGTTGAGTTGCACTCGGCCGTCACTGGTAAGAGGCCAAAGCCGTTGCCTGCTGACAAGAAATTGGATGTAAAGAAGGTTTACTTAATGCTCCCCATCAAGCGAGGCAAGCCAGCTTCGTTAACTTCAGACGAAGCTCGTCAGGTTCTTTTGAGTGCGAATTCAGTGTTAAGATCGCAGTCCCTTTTATTGTCATCGAAGTTTCTTCCTTTGTTTGCTAAGATATGTCCTGCAGCTACTGGAGAGGCACAAAAGTTTATTAAGTTGCAGAAGAAGGAAAGCTCGGAGGAGAGACCAGTGGAGCTCAACATTGTATCGGAGCTTTTGCCGGAAAGTTTGGACGGGAGGCCAGAGTATTTGAATAGAACACTTTCGGGAAAGGCGTGGAAGCCTAGCCTGGATACAATTAAGGAGAAAAAGGTTGAGAAGAAGGTTCCCCACTGGTTGTTTCACAAAGGTTTTATTGTATCTAATTAATTTTTATAAGGAAAGCTTTGATTTATTAGAAAAAAAAAAAAAAAATGAAAATGGAGCTACTGGGCATAATTTATATGTTTTCTTTTCTTTTGCATATCTTGCCTCTTTTATCTTTTCAAACTTTTCTTGGTTTTTTTTTTTTTTTTTGGGATATTATGTATACCTATGGGTAAAGGAAAAAATTGAAATGTATGTAGTTTATTGAATTCAGGCCAAATGTATAAGTCAAATTGGACTTATAATCTTTGATATATATGGGACTATGGGTTTAAGCCCAAAATTTATACTCATATAGCAAGAGAAAGGTTATTGGGTTATATTAATTCCTTAATTACAATATGCAGTATATAAAAAAAAATGATGAAAATGTGCAATTGATGATAATATTCTCCTCGTCAACTTAAATATTTTATAATTCATTAAGTAATTACGTGGTACAAACCCGACCTGTGTATTTTCTTAGTGGGCTGTCAAACACCTTTCGCATACACGTATAGATGTTAATAATCAGTATACCCAGAGTCCTTCTGCGGGTAAGTATACAACATATGAGTCATTTTTGCATTTTAATATTGTAGATGCAAAAATCTCCCTTACGGAAAGAGGGATTGATCCCGTAAGGTTGAGATCACTAGCGATATACTGCATCTGCATACGTAAGAAAACAAGCATAAAGCAGACAGAAAACACTGGGGTAGTGTTTGCCATAGGCACTCCGATGCTCAAGTCAGCAAGGCTGAGTGAGACTAGTTTAGTGAGGGTTAGGGAAAGGAAATGTTACCAAAAATCTAGTCAGAGAGACTGTGACTACGACTGTAATGCAAAGTTCTCAAGAGTGGAAACTCCAAGGTCTGAAGGTGAAATGTCTCTGTCCCTTGTGAGAGGGTTGAACTCTGTTTAAATAGTGACTATAGGGTCTTCGAATCCTGGTGGGACTGGGAGTCCTTGCAGCGGTGGTTTTTTGAAAGAGTGGAGCCTTTGGCTCCCTTATCGCAGTAGGAATGCTGAGATACGGACCTTAGATGAATTAGGATAGTGATTGACTTCTTTAGTAGAGTTCAAGTAGTACTATACTTCATAGGTGATTGTGGGCTCCAAGTTGACCGTAAGTTCAGAAGGTGTTTTAGGATTAAAAGGCCTGGGTCCAGATGGTGAAAAACTGGGAAAGTATACCGAACGGGCCTCATTTACAGAACTCTGTTATAGACCCAATCAGATTTGGGCCTGGGCTTCCCGCTTTATTGAAGGTATTGGATAAGTTCCCGTGGAGTTTCATTTTAAACTCGTTTAAAATAATTCCACCCATGATGAAAGGACGTGAGAAGTGGAAACTGCCAAAGGCAGTTTCTCATGAACCGCTCCCATATAAAAGGAAAACTTTTCCTTTTAGATGAAGTTACTCACTGTCACTCTCAAATAAATACACAAAGAAAAATACGCTTTCTCTCTCTAGAATTTGGAAAACAGAAATACACTTCGTGGTTTTCTTCCAGATTAACTTTGTTGCTTCAGAGATAAGGAAAAGAGGTATTTATACTGTGTTAATTCATTGTAGTTCATTTATATACAAATGTGATTGCAATGGTGACTATGATCTTGGGATTATGTTAGGATATATGTTATTCTATGTTATTTCCAACATTGGTATCAAAGCCATGGTTCATATTGTTTTAAATTCATACTGTTAATGTTGAAGCATGTTATTGGTTTATCAAATGCAGTTCTGATTTTGTTTTTCAAATTTTGTATTTAAAAAGTTGTCTTTCTGGTAATGATAATTAGATCATTAAATTCCTTATGAAATTATGAAGAAAATGGTTTTTGAATCATAAAAAATGGAGTTAAAATAACTTAGATATGCCTCTTTGAAGTTTCGGGTTTCGTATGGGTTAATTTCCGGGTCGGGTACCCAGTTGCAGACCCAGACAAAGGTTGAAGACGACAAGAATCGACATGTCGTTTTCGAACCAACCTTATGAATGACATGTTGTTTTTCCTATTTTACTTTTTTTTTTAAAAAAAATTCAAATCAGCGTGATTGGTGCGACTTGAACCCAAGTCTCCTTGGTTGAAGCCCAATACCCTAACCAGTGGGCTAATTTTGTTTTTGTGTTAACTATATTCACAAACCCAATATATTCCTATCCGGCCCAACCCATAACGAAAATAAAAAATTGGGTCAAGTTGACCCGTGGACTCGACCCATATGACCAAATGGGTTTGTCAAACCCAGTAATTTGTCAAACCTGACCCATAAGACCAAACGGGTCAGTCAAACCCGGTCAACACCCAACCCATAATGTCAAACAAGTCAAACGGGTCAAACTCGGGTCGGTATTGACCCGGCTGAGTGTGAAAACGGGTCGACCCGACCCGAATTCGTGTGGGCGCGTGTAATACTCTGGCGGCGCATGGGGGTGCGTGGAAGCTCCTGTTGGCGCGTGAGAGCACGTGGCCGTTTCTGGGCGGCACGTGGGGGTGCATGGAAACTCCTTCCGGTGCGTGAGGGCGGGTGAAGTATTCTTAATTTTTTTTCTGTTGCTGTAAAGAATAAAAATGCATACTTGGTATATTGTTTTGAGTCTAATTTTGTTATTAAACCATAAACACGTATATATATTATTTATCAAATATAGTCAACCTTTATTTGATAAATAAATAGTTTTTTTTTTGTATTTGTTACAGAAAAATGTTACGTTATAGACGTGCAATGGTTGCTAGAACACTCACTCAAAGGGAAAGGGTTATGAACATGATTAGAACTCTACAAACTCACACATTGATTTTAAGAGACACAGAGGATGAGTTGATGCAACACGTAAATCATTTCATTCATGTGAATGAAAAGATTCAGGAAATTGTCTGGATAGGGGGATTAAAGGAAGATGAGTCGAAATACCAAGTTCTAAGAGAGACTCTTGGTTACCCTAATCTCATTGGTCTCCTTGATATGGTTTGGACCAAGCTAAAAGTTCATAACTTTAAAGATGACAATAAAAATTATAGACGTTTAGTCAACAACTATATCAAGGAGCACATAGATTGGGGTGCAAAAAAGACAACCGGTGCATCTATAGGAGTCTCCACTCGTAAAGGAAATCACAAGAAACAGGGAGTTCCCCTGCCTAGGGTTAATTACAAATTAGATAAAGACCTTAGAATAAGGATTATCAGATCCTTCCCAGTTTTAGGAATGTGGCAGTACACTTAATTTTTTTTTGTTTTGGAATTTGTTTGTTTTAATTTTATTACAAGTTGAATTTTATTTAAATAATGAAATTGGTCTTATTTATTTATTTTTCTATTTTATTAAAATTTTCTGTGAATTTATGTTGATTTATATTTATATAATTGTGTCTAAATATATTTTTAGAATTGCAATTAATTATATCTATGATAATTGGAAATTGGAAATTTTGGATGATGATTGTTGACATTGTTAACTTTTGATTCCAAATCTAATATACAATTATTATTGGTATAATTAATTAAATGAATATGTATGTTCCGAGCATTGAATAACATGCATTATCCAACGTGTAATTTTGTTTAGAAATGGCATTTGCATCTAAGAACATTGTCGCCGAACTTAACAAAAGAGAAAAATTTAACGGCAACAATTATGAGATATGGAGCATGAAAATCCAATATGTTTTGGAAGAACAAGAGGTTCTTGAAGCTCTTACTACAACCATGGAAGAGCCTGAAGAAGGAGTCACGGCTCAACATAGACGAGACCGTGCAGCTTATGACATATGGAAGAAGAAGAATTCCACTGCTCGCATTACTTTGTTGAGCAGCATGGACAATGATCTCATGAAAAAGTACCGGGATTACGAATTAGCAAAGGACATGTGGTCCGCACTTGCTACAAAGTTTGGCGGTACGTCCATTACCAAACTCCGGTCACTCACTATCAAGTTTGACACATATAAAAAGAAGCCTGAACATACTATGAGAGTACATTTACAACATTTGTCAAACATGATAAGTGAGTTGAGAGATGCAGGTCATGTCTTAACTGATGAACAACAGGTTTAAGCTGTCATAAGATCATTGCCTCAAAATTGGGAACATATGAAAATACACCTTACCTATAATGAGGGCATCAGAAATTTAGAAGATGCCATACACCATTTGGAACTGGAAGAAGATCGCCTTAATGCTAGTAAGGCAAATACTGATGTGTATATGGCTGGTTCCAGTTCACATGGTNGTTTGGATAGGGGGATTAAAGGAAGATGAGTCGAAATACCAAGTTCTAAGAGAGACTATTGGTTACCCTAATCTCGTTGGTCTCCTTGATATGGTTTGGACTAAGCTGAAAGTTCAAAACTTTAAAGATGACAATAAAAATTATAGATGTTTAGTCAACAACTACATCAAGGAGTACATAGACTGGGGTGCAAAAAAGACAGCTGGTGCATCTATAAGAGTCTCCACTCGTAAAGGATATCACAAGAAACTGGGAGTTCCTCTGCCTAGGGTTAATTACAAGTTAGATAAAGACCTTAGGATAAGGATTATCAGATCCTTCCCAGTTTTAGGAATGTGGTAGTACACTTAATTTTTTTTGTTTTTGGAAATTGTTTGTTTTAATTTCATTACAAGTTGAATTCTATTTAAATAATGGAATTAGTTTTATTTATTTATTTTTTCTATTTTATTAAAATTTTATGTGAATTTATGTTGATTTATATTTATATAATTGTGTCTAAATATAATTTTAGAATTGCAATTAATTATATCTATGATAATTGGAAATTTGAATTTTTGGATGATGATTGTTGACATTGTTAACTTTTGATTCCAAATCTAATATACAATTATTATTGATATAATTAATTAAATGTATATGTATGTTCCGAGCATTGAATAACATGCATTATCCAACGTGTAATTTTTTTTAGAAATAGCATCTGCATCTAAGAACATTGTCGCCGAACTTAATAAAGAAGAAAAATTTAATGGTGACAATTATGAGATATGGAGCATGAAAATCCAA